AGTTTTACTGTCACTTGGGATCTTTGCACCATTTCATGCCCAGCAGTTGTTAGCCATTCTCAGCACACAATTGAGATCAAGTGGGACTACTCATCACTCTGCAGGGATCAAGAACTGTATAATAGATGTAAACCAACCGTAGAAGTTAAAGGTCATTCTAAACAAAGGGATTAGTACAGGTGTTAAAAACATATTCTGCCTTCCCTAAAAATAATTTTCCCCAATGTGGGAGGTAACAATTGGTATAATACGCTAATAGTGATGCAGTATATTCATACAGTGACTATTAGAGATAAAATTTTCAGATTTGAGGATATCATGCATCACAAGATTAAAATATAACAGGATAAAGCTGTATAGTTAGGTAAGCAAAACTGTTGCACTGTATTATTTAGCTACACATACATGCAAGCACACACAAAACAATTACCCCTATTAAACAAAGGTCCTCTGGAAAATAAATTAGCTAAAACATAGCTATGTCAAATAATTTTTTTAATAGATATCATTGCATATCCTAAACACTATATACTTAAAATGATCTATACATTAATGAACTTGGACCAGAAACCCACTTGATACCCAATGTATTACATTATTTTAATGTGCTGTCACAGTGCCTCATATAAAAAGAATAGTTAACACTTATCTTTACCAAGAGATGAGCAAAATAAGCCTTCTCCTGCAGATGATATTTCTAAGTCTTAGCTATACAAAATAACATGCAAAGTTACTACAATTTCATTTATTTTTCTCCTTTAAATACTAAACACAAGAGGTAAAACTGGATGTTTTTCAGAAAGGAAACACTCTCTGAAGATTTTGAAACAAGCTGGATTCAACAGCAAGATCAACAGCACCGAGTCACTCGAGCAATAGGCTGACATAGATTAGCTGGATCACAAGACAGGGATGCTGCTGCCATACACATCCCAGTACAAATGTCTTGGCAAAGATCTTTACTCTTTCTCACTTCTCATAAATTTCCTAGATTAAACAGGAAGACACAGCAGGACTTGCATCAAACAAAAAACCACACTCACTCAAAAAATAATTTCAGAACAGAGTAACAATAATTAAAAGGTATGCCAAGCATTGTTTTATTTCACCCCAACAGCAACATTACTTCTAGAATACTTAAAATAATACAAATATTTATTCAGTTTTAGAAACATACACCAAAACAAAGAGATGCTCAATGAAAACTCACAAGCTGCGTAAGCCACATAGCAAGGAAACATAACACCATTTTGAGCAAATTAATCTAAAACGAGCTTCTAGGTGCAAGCTGGGCCCATAACCTCAAGGATAACAACAATTCCATAAATGGGAGCTGGAGTATATGCTATCTGCAAGCGCAACAGTTTTGAGTTAATGTGTAGTTTAACTACAGTAATAATATAAAAACTGATTCAAATTAACAACAATATTTCAGTAATTTGGAGGTGAAGTGTTGTATGTTTTAATTTATTGTATAGAAAATATGAAGAATTTAGATATTAAAACATAGTTGTCTCATATTTACCAGTGAGACAGCCAAAGAATTTTATTTGAACTGTTTAAGTGAAGGAAATCTTATCCATCCCAATTGTCAAGGAGAAAGCCATCAATATTCACAAGTGAAATAATCAGTTCTAAGCACCTGAATGATTCTAAATGGTGGCTAACAACTGACATCTGTTTAGACTAACCCTTCAACAAAGGTTAAAGGTCATTAAGTATACTTCCAACAAAGTTTGGAGAAAATGTCAAGTTCAAGACATCCAGCTAGCAAATCTGAAAGAATGATTGTACTGAATTGAATGATAAAAATGTCCTTCCTAGAATAACCTGAAAAGTATATTCTGTTCAAGACTATCCAGGAACAGCAACTAGCTTGCCAAAATACATGAAAGATCTGAGATTACTACAATGAACTGATTTATGCCTGTGCAACAACTGCTAGATAATTCATCTAAAATGGCAGCCAAAGGCAAAGAGAACAGACTTGAAATACCAATTTCAAAAGAGATTTGGTATGAAAATAAAGGCAGAAAAATCTATTTCATCTCTTGTTTTCTGTTTGTCCCATTTTTCTTATTTAAACCTGACATATCATGAATAACAGACACAGATTTTATTCTTAGAATCAAGAGTAACAAGGAAAACAACAGTGCAGTACCATGAGCAAGAGCTTCCCCATCAAAACTATTTTCCATCCAGGGAAGCTGACAGATAATGGAGGTTTTTGGAAGATCACATAGTTCATATAGGATACTAACAATTTTATTTCAACAGTCATCTTGATCAAGGAAATTCAGATCTGAATTTCTACAAGAGGTGACATCCTAAGATGTCCACCAGAATACTAATTCTGCCTGAGGGAAAAGCAACAGAAATCAAAAACTGCAGCTCAAGGATTAATGGCCAGTAGCATCCTACCAAAATGAAGAGTCATAAAAATATGCAAGTTAACACAGCTGTATCCATACAGTAAAAATCTATCATTTAGCACAGCAGATGTATCAAGTGTTTTCAAAGTGTACTCCAGTACTCACTTGCTTTCAAAATTTCAAATGTTACATTTATCCAGACTTTCACTGTGCACATATAGAAAAATCAGTTTTAAATACAAAATAAAAGCATGCTTCCACTTTTTCCGAAGTTTGAAAGCAGTTTTGTACTTTTTAATTATATTACATATTTACTCAATGTGTCTTATTGTAGAACAATTAAAAACTTACCCATGGCTAAATTAGAATATGAAACGTTAATTATAGTATCCCTTTTCCAGTTATCTAGTATTCCAAATGGCAATTGTGCATATGAAATTTCATCATGGGGGAAAAAGTTTTATCGGCGAAAGACTACCAAGATATTAACGAAAATTAAACAGACAACTCATCCATGAATAAAGGATACTTGTATCTTTTCTTCCTCTACTTATTTCCTCAAAGATAACCCATCTATTCAGTGTTAAAAGTAACACTTTAAAGTGTTACAAACTGACATTCCAAGTCAAGTCTGTGATACCCTTATTCGCAGGCACAGCTTGCCCAGTGATAGGACAGATGAGGACAGGATGTAGCGGCTACACCAGCACACCCTTCAATTCATTCTTGAAAAACAATGCTAATATTAGTGTGGTGAGAGTTCATTAAAATAGGTTGCTTATTCAAGGATAAACACTAAGTAGCCTGGAACAGAACTAATGCAAAATCTGCTTAGCTTGGTTACAATTTTGTGAAAATATTTAGTGCATACACATTTCTCAAACTGTTCTATTGCTTTATAAATCAAAACAGATTTACGAAAGGTTCTGCTAGAATACTCATGAAAACAAAATGCACACTACTTTGTGGCTCATTTCTTGTACTAAAATATTCCCCACAAAGCAAAATACTTTTTTTAAATGACCCCTGAAAGAATTAGCTATTTTCCAGGCATCAGTAAACAAATGTGGCCATGCCATTTCAAGTTATTGGTTTCTGCAGCAGATCTCCAGGACCTTTTTCACTGCTATAGACCTAACAGCTGCAGTTTCTTTCTTATTCCTTCAAGCGCAGTCACGTTATTTTCTGGAGTTGGAAATCAATAAATTCATCTTTGAGATGACAACGAGTTTGTCTGCATTATTTCTGCACTAGTGGTGGTAACCCACTAAACCCCAGCTTTTTCTATACAGGTGGTAGCATTATGGTTTTTGTTTCCAGCAAGTAACAATATGGCTGAGATTCACATTTCTCCCCTCACCCCTTTTTCATGGGCAACAGCTTTCCCTTATTACTTTTACTCACTACTGTTTTCCCATGAGCCACTTTGTTTCGCTGACAAGTATGTCCCCTCCCCTAATTAAAAGATGTGCAATCTATTCTTCACTCAAGCCGTTTTGTTTCTAACAATGACAAAATACCTACTTTATGTCACGTTTTACTGCATGACTAATGAGGATGCAACATTTGAGCTGTACATCTGTATTCTTAGAAGCCTCAAATTAGCACCATTTTAATATAACAATAATCCTATTAGCATAATTTATCTGCTGTTGAATGATAACATGCTCAAGTAAATTTCAGTGGTTTAAATTATAGATTTTTGTAGATGACTAAACTATTAAAGAGATCGAGCTAGCCCATTCTTGATCCAAAATTACAACATATTAGAGTCACCCTTACTATGGTTTGAATACAGTGCCAAATAATCTGGCATAATTATTTCCAATTTGTTCTCTTCTACTGCTTCACAGTTCTGTGACCCCCATACTATTCTATCTGTCGCAATAGTGAATGTTATATACACGGCAACTGGTACTAAAGAGCCATATAGAAATTTTGGTTTAGTAAAACCTGTTGTAATCATTCACAAAAAGCTTTGGCAACTGCAGTCTGGTAACACAGTCTGAAGGTGTAATAACAAATTTTGAAAAAAGTTAACACTGATGAAGAACATCACTGAAATTGATATTTAAGTTAAATACCTCTAATACTTTTAGTTAGATGTCTATATCCTTTAAATGAAACACACAAAGTGCTTTCCTTAACTCTACAAAGTGGCAAACACAAACATTAACTCTCTTTTTGTTGAATTAGAGCATCTTAGAATATCTGTTATAAACCATCAGTGTCCCTACATTTTCTTCTTTTGTTCTACTAATTTCTCTCTCCATATAAACCATATGCATCTATTTCATCTTGTAAAATTTCTACTTTCCCCACCATATGTATCACAGGCCCCCAGTCCCTACGCTCCCAAGAGAGGTCATGTGGGGCTTGGAACCCAGTGATGCTTTCTTCCAGACTGCGGGCAGCCCCTCAGCCTGTGCACCAGCACCGCTTCAAAGCGTCCCCTTCTTCACCTGCTCAGCACCCACCTCCATGCTTTGCCTTCCATCCCCCCAGGGTGCTTCCTTAGCTGAGTGGGGAGAAACAGGAATTCCTCCTCAGAAGACCTCCAGTGACTCCTCGTCCTCTTCTAGAGCAGGAGTTCCTAAAAAAGGAGGCTGAAGTAAGGTCACCCCAAACCGCAGGGTTGCTCCTGCTCCCTCGCCTCACAGTCACTGAGATAAAGCATGTTCTCCTCTCAAACTTTTCCCAGAGCAGCGCCCAAAGAAGGACCGCAGCCCGGAAGAAAAGAGTGACTACACGGCAGCCGGCACAAAGCTTTTCACCTGGTTCCTCGGGACAGCCGCGGAGGCCGCCTCCCTCCCCTCCCACGAGGGGGGCGCGCAGAGCAGGCGCGAGGGCGGCGCCTCTCCCTATCCTCAGGCGGGAGCGGCCCCGACGGGCGGCGCCTCCCGCTCCGCCAGGGCGAGGGCGGCAGTGAGGGCGGCTCCTCACCTCGGCCGGACGCGGCAGGGGCGGCGACCTTTCCCTCTCGCCGCCACCGGCGAAGCGGCTTTCCCAGAGAGCTGCTGGGAGCGTCGGCACAGCCCAGCGCCAACCGGAGGAACTTGGCCCTTCCCGGTAAGCTCCCTCGGGCTCGCCGAAGCCACGCTTCCCAAAATGGAGGATGGCCAGCGCGAGACCTAGCCGCGCCTCATGCTTTCCCGCCCATCTCAGGCGGGGCCCTGGTGACTGGTAAGGGAGGGACACATCAGCTCGTGTTAGTCGGTTCTTTCTTGTAAGGATCCCATCTTACCTTTTCATTTCTTTAAAAGTAAGCACGGCAATAGGTCTGGTGGTGTTTTTCTCCTCCCCGGTCGAGTTCTGGACTTCGGTTATTTGGCAAGGTGAACAGGAGTTAGGGCATGTTTGGAGCTTGCTCTCCTCCATGGCATGGTGGCTGCTGTTTCTGCTTGCCCAGCTGAACCAATTGCAATGACTTTGGAAAGAGCAGCCTTAAAGAAATATCTTACAGGATCTGTGTGGGTATGAGTGCCGTCCTGTTGTGCGCCTGATGTCAGTCAGATAGCTGAACACAGAAATGACCAATTATGTATGTAGGGGGCTGTTTTTGTTTTAATTGAATAGGGCATACATGCAAATGGAGTGTTTGATTGCACACCAGGACAGGGAGGGATGGAAAAGTCAAAAGCTGAAAACTGATGTAGCAGAAAAATGTATTTAAACCTCCTGAATTCATCTGAACCAGTTTTAGCAGGGCTGCCAAAGGCTGCTTACCTGCAGCCTGCCTGCACTGTAGCCTGCTTCTGAGCGTGGGGCAGAAGTCACAGTTGGGCTTTCTGCCCACCTGAGCCCCCCTGCCTTCCCTGATGGGGCAGCTGTTGGGCCCACGCTATGCTTGTGCCGATATGTGGCTTTGCCACTGGTCTCCCTCCTGTTCCCCTGCAGATTGCTGTACTAGAACCATCTGCTACAAGTTACTTTCCAGTTTCTCAGATGTTCAGGCCTTTCCAGTAGTTGCTCTAGCCCTGTCAATCTACTGCTACCCACCCACATGGGCAGTCCTGCATGCAGACTGGCTCATCAGTTGTCTAAGTCAATATCCTGCACCTCTAAGTACCTTCATTTTTACTAAGTCCAGGAAGAGCCCAGCTTCTGCTTGAGTTGCTGAGATTCCCTAGGTACAGTTCTTGTATTCTCATTACTGTAAATGCACATGGTATTTTACTGTCCTGATTATAAGCTGATTTTTTTTAGATGCATAAATACGTAAATCTCTGTAGGTGGTTTGCATAAGGTCTTGCATAGAAAGCTGTAGATGTTGGTAGCAATATTTTAGTTGTAATAAATGAAAATATCCCAGCCAGTAGAAGGAAAGAGGGTTATTTGTTGGGTTTTTTGCATTGCAATAACTGCTAACTCATTTAGTTTGGTCAGTGATTCTAACAACAACATAATCTCATGCATAGTCAAAAATCTTGGCTTTTCCCCCTTTTTATAAGTTGAGCAAAAGTTCTGTGGTGACAAAATCATAAATGTAAACAAAATGTAACACAATACAAATATTTAAATTTACTTTTTATTTGTGTGTGGGTTCAGATAAAAACCTTGTGAATTGGCTTTCTTTCGATCAGCAAAAGACAGAAACAATGCGTTCATATGTACAAAAGAAAGAACTAGCCTAGGTCCCCTAGAGGCTATAGCAAGGTGACTTCAGTTTGAACATTCTTCTACTTCTCAAATTATTCCTTCCAAGAGACTGATTGGAAAAAAAACATTATGGAAGATCAGTGCTATATGTACTTGGCATTGTCAGTATACTGATTCACTGGCGACTGTTGAGTAGTGTGGCACACATCTCATAATGGCGTAATTGTCTGCAATTACTCAAACACAGCTATGTTGACTACACTAGCAGCACTGGCTCACGTAGGAGACACCTGCTCAGCTTGATGGCTTCTGAAAAGTACTGTTCTTACACCCTTGCCTCTGGGTGGGCAATGTGGCCTTTTCATTCTAGGTCAGATACTGGCCGTAGTAATCTGAAACACTTTATGCAGTAACAGCTTGTGGTCAGGGCATGCATATACTACCAGCAAAAAGAGAAGGGTGAGAAGCATAGCTGTCTTGGGAGATCAGAAGGACAAATTCACAGAGTCTGCAACCCACTTCCAAACCAACAGGTTTTGCAAGCGGGCAGAACCTTAACTGAAAAATGCTGTGACTAGTAGTTGTGAGATGGAAATGAGCTGATGTCATGGAAAGATCAGTGGCAGTTGTGTTGAAACAATTCAGATAGCGCAGGTAGTGCAATATCTAAGTTTTCAAATGAGTTTGTGTGTGGGAGCCCTCCATATTAGAAGTTGATTGCTTTTTGAAGTGAGTGATACCTTTTGGAGGTTTTGTTTGTTTCTCATTGCAAGAAGTTAAGTAAGCTTTAGCAAATCCAGTATAAAATATCCATTATGGAAAACTATGCTTTCCTCAAATTGTATTGTATATAATTTTTATTTGTACAATAAGGAAAAATACCAAAATATTCTAGCTTTTATTTTTAAACCATTCAAATAGTAGTATTTAGAGATCCCAATTACTACTAAGAACATGAGATAAACTGTAAGTGGAAGTCTAGAATTTGGAACTATTGAATCTATTGACTCTCCCTGAAATGCAGGCAGAAAGTCTAATTCCCTTGCTTATGAATACTATTTTGCTTCATCTAGTCTCTAATTCAGTAGAAATAAATGTGGGCTATGGCAATGCTGCATGTAAGCAGATGTCTTGATTAATTGCTGATAAGATGCAAACCTCAAAAAAGAACATTCTTCAAAGTAAATAGCTTTTCCTTCTTCAGTATTAGTAATTTATTTCTTTGTCCAGCATACTTTCAGGGAAAAAACCCAAGTATCTTCTGTATTTTCTGTTTGCAGGTCCTTACCTTTTCCTTGCAATTTGATTTATTCTTACCAAGTTGCTATTCTGGACTCTTTATCTTCTGCACTGTCCTTTTTTTTTTGGTGAAATCTTGTCTTTTAAAAAAGCATAAAGCTCTTTCTGACAATTCTTGGATGTATGCTTTTGCACAGAGAGGAATTGAATGAGATTCAAAGAGTGGGCTGTGAATCTGGTTTTTGCTTAGGTGAGCAGTTGTAGTAGTGGAGAATGCTACTGGCTCTTAAGCTAGAAAATCGAAGAGTGCTTATTCTGAATTTGCTAAACTTCAAATCTCTAATTCATGTGAGGAAACCCTCATTACATTTTCCCATGGTGATTCAAGTCATTTGGATAAAAAGTATGCCTGCTGTGCTTCAGATTATAGTGGAAGAACTCTTCAATTTACAAAAAGGTTTTAAATTCGAGACCTACCACTCAGCCTGTGATGCACATCTCAACTTCAGCTAATGAAACCAACCTGTTCCAGACAAATTCCATTTAAATAATTAGCAATTCAAAGTTGTGAAAGTTATGTCAGGCTATAAAGTTCATACAATTCTCACATCAAGTATTAGTGAATAGGTAAAGCAGAAATAATTTCGTATTATTTGATGGTGCTCACCAAATAGCCCAAGAAGAACTAATTTGTATAATATTCTGAAATGGTATTTTGAAGAGACTGACTTAAATGTTTAGGCTTTTTTAACTGTCGGAGAGATTTCATGTTTGGTGGTCAGATGATATACAAAAAACTAATACAGCAGTTGTTGTAGCTGAAATCTTTAAAGAAAAATATAAGTGTTCTCTAAAACATACAAATGAGGAATGAGGTAAGTGTTCTAATGAATAATACTTGTGCAAAGTGATTCTATCGAAACCCGTCTATGAACTAACTGAAGTACGAATTTCTTTTACTCACTTGTAAACAGTTTATTTTTTCCACTTGAGCAATCTTAATAGAGTAACTGGCTGTAGGAATTAGGTGTGGAAATTCAGTATGACTTGAAAAGAAAGTAGTAATGTTTTGTCCGGAATGTGGACTTCGTCTAAAGAAATGAGTGACAGCACTTGCTGGCACACTAAAAAAAATTATTTGATAGGGATATTAAGTTCCCCTACCCTCCTTTGCTGCTTTGTTAGTCAAGATTTTTATATAAATTAAATAGAGCAGTTGACAGTATAGGTTGTATAAATAGCACAAGTAATGAGTAATACAGATAAATAAGAAAATGGAGTTCTAAACAAGGCTGTAATGGCTGTAGAACCATTATGTAGAACAAAGCAAGCTAATACAATTTTTAAAATTACAGTAAGTTTCTTTCAGATCCATTCACAGCATTTGTTCTATTTTTGGGGGAATATTTTGTTCTTCAAGACAGAATGCTTATTCCATTTCTCTCAATTCCATTGTTCTTATCTATATTTCTGTGATGAGCATTAGTGAGGATGACACCAAACTGAGTGGTGCGGTTGACACACCATAAGGATGGGATGTCATCCAGAGAGACCTGGCCAGGCTGGAGAGGTGGGCCTGTGTGAACCTCATGAGGTTGTTCAAAGAAGGAAACAAAACAAGCATGCTACAGGTGTTTCTTTGGCTGACATTTCTTCTATCCCTTTGACCAGTAGAGGTGGAGATAATCTAAAATATTGCACAAATTTTTAAGAAATAGCTAGAAGTAATGCTGTAGACAAAATTAAGGAATAAAAATGGGAGAGAGAACATAATAACTTTAGAAAAGCGTTTAGTACCCTAGGTTTGGGGGCTTCTGTTAGTGCCATGTTATCTCTATTGAAATACCGTGAAAAGGTTAACAAAACTATCATAATATAGGTTGTAGCTATCTTTTTGCTGATGTTTGTTTTCTTTGAGTTAGCTGTATATTTCTCCTCTTACCTCCTTGTAGATGATGCATGATAATCTTTAATTTTAAAATATTACATCTCCTCAGTCTGTAAATAGCAGTTTGGCACCTGCAGCTTTTCTCGGACTGATTTTTGAGTTTTATTTCCTGATGCTTTAATAAATCTTGTGTGATCTGTAAATGTCAGCACACACTTTTACAGTGTCTTTGCTGTTGGGAAGTGAAATAGTTGAAGGAATTTCTAACAGGATAACTCCCTCTTCCCTTTCAGTTTACCAGGTCTAAGACGTTGCAAAATGCAGCTGTCTGAAATTACTTTAGTGATCTTAGTTGAGTTCTGCATTTCTAAGCCCTATTTCTCTTACATGCTGTCACTCACTGTTTTGTTTGTACTCCACGTTGAGATGCAAATTATTCAAATAATTCACATTT